TCCTTTCTAATCACCTTCTTATTCCTTCTTATTCCTTCTTATTGACCTTCTTATTCCTTCTTATTCCTTTCTATTGACCTTCTTATTCCTTCTTATTCCTTTCTATTGACCTTCTTATTCATTCTTATTCCTTTCTAATCACCTTCTTATTCCTTCTTATTCCTTTCTATTGACCTTCTTATTCCTTCTTATTCCTTTCTAATCACCTTCTTATTCCTTCTTATTCCTTTCTATTGACCTTCTTATTCCTTCTTATTCCGTTCTATTGACCTTCTTATTCCTTTTTATTCCTTTCTATTGACCTTCTTATTCCTTCTTATTCCTTTCTATTCACATTCTTATTCCTTATTATTCCTGTCTATTGACCTTCTTATTCATTCTTATTTCTTTCTATTGACCTTCTTATTCCTTCTTATTCCTTTCTAATCACATTCTTATTCCTTCTTATTCCTTTCTATTGACCTTCTTATTCCTTCTTATTCCTTCCTATTTACCTTCTTATTCCTTCTTATTTCTTTCTATTGACCTTCTTATTCCTTCTTATTCCTTTCTATTGACCTTCTTATTCCTTCTTATTCCTTCTTATTGACCTTCTTATTCCTTCTTATTCCTTTCCATTGACCTTCTTATTCCTTCTTATTCCTTTCTATTGACGTTCTTATTCCTTCTTATTCCTTTCCATTGACCTTCTTATTCCTTCTTATTCCTTTCTATTCACCTTCTTATTCCTTCTTATTCCTTCTTATTGACCTTCTTATTCCTTCTTATTCTTTTTTTATTCACATTCTTATTCATTTCTATTGACATTCTTATTCCTTCTTATTCCTTTCTATTGACCTTCTTATTCCTTCTTATTCCTTTCTATTCACCTTCTTATTCCTTCTTATTCCTTTCTACTGACCTTCTTATTCCTTTCTATTGACCTTCTTATTCCTTCTTATTCCTTTCTATTGACCTTCTTATTCCTTCTTATTCCGTTCTATTGACCTTCTTATTCCTTCTTATTCCTTTCTATTCACCTTCTTATTCCTTCTTATTCTTTCTATTCACATTCTTATTCCTTCTTATTCCTTTCTATTGACCTTCTTATTCCTTCTTATTCCTTCTTATTGACCTTCTCATGCCTTCTTATTCCTTTCTATTTCCCTGCTTGTCGGGATATGCCCGCAAGAAACATGTCGCTGTAACGCTTTTTTTCTGCCGTGGTAACATTGCACCTTGTCATGGTAACAAAATCGCGATTTTGTCGTGGTTACGACCCCCTCTCACAGGGCAACGGTCCACGGGGCAGTTCAAGGAATGTGCACTGACCCAAAACCAGCCATGACCCTCTGTTCACGAAGGCCAACGCCGACCTTTCCTTTCGACTTTTGCTGCAGTGTTCCTTCCAAATCAGCTCTTCAACCCTGTGTCGGGCCTCACACTTCCCACAGTGGCCATGGCGAAAAACAGGGCACACTTGTTGTTCGCGAAGCACCTCCCAAAACCATGGAGAACAATTGGGGGGGGGCAGGGGAGCCTCCCACCAAAAAGCATGGAGGTCTTGATAAAGGACCTCCAACGAGGAGGACATGATCTTTAATGGATTTCCGCGAAGCGTGGAGTTCCGTCCCCCGATTTCGGATTTTGCCAGGAGTCGGCGGCCTCGGACTTTGAGGGCACCAGCGACTCCGGGTGGAAGAGCCCCTCCCTGCGCAGCTCGGTGTCCTCGGGCCGCTCCGAGATGCTGCACACGCCCACGGGCCCCGCGCCGGAGGCGAAGCCAGGCGGGTGGCAACTGTCCTGGGAGCCGTGAAGGGGTTCAAATCCTGCACCCGTGAAGGGACAAAATCCGGTTCGCGCCATGTGCATCATGTTGAAATTATGGAAACCATATACTGTTTGTTGGCATTTACACAGTTTTGGATCATTTTCTAGGGCTTCTTGGGTGGTGCGGGATTTTGTTTGTCCGCAGTGGGTGGGCCCTTTGTAGTTTAGTTTCGTTAGAAGTAGATGGGTTCCACTGGTTGAGAGTGGTTTCATACCGTTTACCAGGGAAACCCATCTATTTTACCGAAAGGACACCTATGATCCCCACAACTCCCCCCCCCCACAATTAATGTGTATGATAGGGGGATGGGTTCAGCTTACTCCAATTCATCCCACCCCTTGCTAGTGTATGGAAGGGGTGCGCCCCCCGAAAAAGTTCTTTATCCAGCACCCCTGTTTTAAACACTCCTAGGTCCCCCAGTAGTGCCCTTTTGCCCCCTTTCTTGGGGGGAGGGTTCCCCTACGAAAAAATAGACCACAGAAAAAAGTTGGTACCAGACTCAGCTGGCCTGCGCAGAACACGCCCACGGCGCCCGTTGCCAGGTGAGGAGCCGCCGCCCTACGATTGGATCCCCACGGCGCAGAAGCTGAGGCGGTGGGAGGTTTTTCGCGGGCGGAAGGGTGCCACCCTCCCTCCAATGGGGGAAGACAGGAGGGGCTTGGAGACGACCATGGCTTTGAAAAGGCTGCCATGATTCATGGAAAACGGGTAGTTTGGCCGGGGCACCATGTTTGTTTGAATATGGAGCGTGTGAGATGCGCGGCTTCCATTTCATAAGGCGACGCTTCTTGCTTACTATAGAGCAAGATTTTGTTTGGTTTGCGACCGGGCTTCCGGCTTTGGCAGTTGCAGTTTAAACGTTTAAACAAGCAAGGTGTCCAAACATAGCTACTCCACAAACAATTGTGCAAGCGTACCTCAATTGAATGGGCGCAATGCCGAACTGCCAAACTTGACCGAAAAGGGCACGGCGTGAATGCACACCCACTGAATTGAAGGGGATTGAGGTGACATTGGAATTTCCATTTTGGTTTGGTTCCCACCTCGCGTCCCCGGTTTTCTACGGGCGCGTGGTTGCAACCCAGCCCCTCCCCTTCCCAGACCTCCAGCCTGCCCCTTTTGCAGGCAGCTGAACGCGCCTCTCCAGGAGACGCCGCCCTTTTCTGCCAGCCAGACGAGCTTCTTTCATTGGCTTAAGGTGAATTTTTTGCCTTTTCCAAATGAGTTTTGGAGTTGAACCAGCCATGATTAAAGCTGACATGTTATGTTTCCAGTTGACTGAAAGCCGGAAATGGTCATGACTGGCACACATGGCATGTTGCAGCCTACAAACATTGGTCAATGTTTGTTTGCAAGACCACTGGCGATGACAGGTACCTCTGAAGTTTGTGCGTTTTTGAGGATGCCCTTTCCAGGCTTTGCGAAGCCACAAGGAAGGCCCAGCGTTTGGATCCATGTGGGCGCGACCTGCGCCCCAGGTTTGGTGGCAGATGAGGTGCCAACCCCATCCTCAGCCTCGCACCACACCTATGCGTCCTTCTACACCATGCCCCCTGGCATTTCCCAGCCCCCAAGTTGGCCAAGTGGGCCCAAGTAAGCCAAGTTTTCAGCTTGCTGGGAGAGCAGCTACCCAGTGCCTCCAGAGTAGGTACCAGGGATCCGTACCTCTAGGTTATGATGGGTTCCCCCAGTTCCCTGCAAAAGTGCCTTGCCTGGAAGCGCCGGGGCTAGTGGGCTCTGCTCCTGGGCTCCGTGAAGTTCCACAGCCAGCCCAGAGCCCCATTCCTTGGTGAAACTGCGGGTCTGTGCCGTTTCCCTTGGGAGGAAGGTGTCCGCGTCAGCGTAGGGTGTGCTTGAGGGTAGTTCCAGTACTCAGTTCTGAATTTCGCGTTTCAGACTGCACTATTCTAGCCTGATGTATCGGGCGGTTCAGGTATTCAATCAAGCGCCTGCAGGAACAATTTCTGCAACGTGGCGATCGATGCGCAGGTTCTCTTTGCATCCGAAGTAGTTGCTGACCATATAGCCAGAACTCGGGAAACTGGGGTTGGCCCCCTCACGCCTGTGGCTTGAAAACCTCTTGGTGCCAAGGTCCCTTGGCATGAAGAAGACCAAGGCACAATACGCTCTTCCGCATCCGTATCATGTACAAAATCTCATCAAAGCCATGGCGGCACGCTTGCCACAGACGCAAGCAAGCCCAGAAGTGGTTTAAGCCGAGATAGTGGGCATTGCCAGAAAAGGCACGAGTCTGCAGGGGCACACTCTAGGTCCCTTTGTGTTGGGTGAGTTACACGCCAAAGAACAAAGGCTGCCCTTTCGGGCCAGTGCCTTGGCACCCCTACCCCATTGGAGCCCAAGCCACTGCAATTTTGTGGGGTGGGGAGGCAAGTGCGAGTGGGCTAGATGTTTCACTATCTTCAGGTTGGTTCTGATCAGTTGCAATTGCGCAGCTCCTGTCCATTTTTTAGATTTAAGCATCAGCTTTTCGATTGGTGAAGTTCAAAGGGTGGCATGTACCCAGTTGCTGGTTTGAGGGCACATGAGGGCGCATTGTTCTTGTGGTAAAGGAACGCTAAAAGGAACACCGAAGTATGGGCGACCCCTTTTGGTAAAGGAACACTAAACGCACACTCAAAGCCCCACGTTGGGCTCCGATACCCCCCCCCCCCCAAAAAAAAAGGCCGCGAGAACCCCCCCCTCGCGGTCGCGCATTTCCCCGTCGCTGCAGTCGGATGCCGTCGGCGTGGGTTTTCGGTTCGCTGCGCAGGGCCAAGGTGAAGTCGGACGCCTGGGTGGCCAAGCGGGAGGCGGAGGCCGAGGAGGCGGAGGCGGCCAGGCTCAAGGCCATCAAGGCGCAGGACGGGTTCGCGAGAGACGCGAAAGACGCAAAAGACGAGCTGGTTGTTCTATGTTGTGATGTTGCCCTTGGAAAACTGTGTTTGTGGGTTTCCCCCTGAAAAACTGGAAAATGGTTGTTTGAAGGATTGTTGTTGGAAGATGGTCCAGGTTGGCGATGGTAATGAAGGCCCGGGAAAAAAGGGCTCCTGCTTGAGGGAGCCATGATCACACCGGTTTTGCACATCCAGACGGCTATAGGCCTGAAAGCTTCTCGAGCTTTTGGGCGTGTTCCCCTGCCCTTGTTCAAACACATGGATGCGGGGGCTTACCCAACATCAAAGTAGTCTTCCAACACACTCCTGCTGGCTTCCAAGCCTTTTTTTGTTGTTGTGATAGGCGGGAATTAGAAAACACTTGTGGGGCATCAAGACCGCCCAAAAAAATGAGCATGCTTTAGTGGATTTGAACCATCAGCATCCTCCGGTCGGTGAAACCTCCGCGAGGAGTGGGACGACATCCCCTCGGGGAAGCCAGGCGACGAGGAGGATGGTTTCAGCCCGGAGTCTGGATGCCAAGGACATCGAACCTGGATTGACAGCAATTGGTGGAAACCAATTTGTAGGTGCCAAAAAGAAAAGGCGGCACAACACGGAACATGTTGTGTTTGTTCTTTGGAAGGCGCTGCCACATGCAAATAGGCTCGTTGACAACTTTTTCCCCCAGCCCCTCCCTCCCAGTGTGGCCGGCGTTCCCAGGCTTGAGCCTTTGGAGACCTTCGAGGACGAGGCAAGCTGGCTTGTCCACCTGCCCCACCCAGTTTGCAGAGTTTCTACGCCACCCAGGGCGCGATAAATTTTTGTGAGAGCGCAAAAGGCCGGTGCACTGAATGAGCCTCAATCGGATATTGGTTGCACTTCGCTTGAGGACCTGGGCATGACGCTCACGCGTTTAGCCACCACGATCGAAACACAAACAACTGCATGCCAATGTTGGGCCGTGGAACTTTTCAACCATTGGACCTCGGCAGTTGCCAACGCCTACCAAGGTTGCCTTTGCGAGCTATTTTCAACAGGCATACGCACCGCGTATCCATTCCACACAACCGGAAGGTAGGAGACGGTCAAACAAGAAATGCTGCTTAATTTGAGCCGCGCAGCTGGCAACTCGGGCAAAATGATGTGCAGGCAGTCTGATGGCCGATTGCCACCCATTAAGGGAAATGCAAGCCATGCATATTTAGTCCACGTGTTTTTTCCCAGAGGTGAGATGTGATGTCCTTTTCTGGCATTGCATGCGTATGCTCATGGGTTGGAACTGAACCCCATTGTTTGTGTTTTTTTTGCCTTCCATGGGGAAAAAAACAACTAAGGAACGTCATGTGCTCCCAGTCAGGTGGCACTTTGGTTTCCGTTTGGTTGCGCTTGCAATCCATCCAAACGAAAACCATTCTACACACAGGCTAGTATTGAATTTAACAAATATGCCCCTGCCACCACCCAAACGCCATCAACCCAAGCACACCTCCAGCTCATGTATTTTTTTGGTCTTCCCCACTAAGGTGTGTTTGGGGAGCCTTCTTTGGGTGCAAACAGTTGTTCCACGTTGCTCCGCTGACCTCTTCGCTGCGCCCCGCTCGTGCCAACACCAGCTCGCTCGCCGGCTCGCTCTTTTCGGTCAGGCAGATGCCGGAGTCTATAGTCCGGTGTTGGAGCCTCTGAGCCCGGCAACCCAGAGCGTTCCCCCGGTTCTTGCCGCATTTCACTGGCCCCCTTGGCGATTGATTACAGCCCCAAGAAGGGTACCCTCAAAACCCTCCGCGGAGTGCGTCTCCCTGCGACAATCGACCTTTTGATCTGACAATTTTGGGGCTTTCTCTGACTCTCAGTTGTTCAAAGCGGAACTTTTGACCTTTTGGTTTTCCCTGGTTGGTCTATTTTTAGTAGAGGTCCCAAAAGGTTAACCTTTTATAAACAGATCCTTTGGGCAACTGAGGACTTGGTCCGTTTTTTAGCGGCCCCAAAAGGTTGTCACCTTCAATTTCTGGGTCCTTTGGGGACCAGCCACAGTCCTTATCCCTCAACAAACAAACCTGGGGGTGCGCTCTTCGGCGCTTAGACGGAATGTGGTCTTGCAGGAGGGGTTTGCTGCACTTCCTCATGTTTGTTTGTGGGAAGGGGGGGGGGTCAGCTTGATCATCACTTTTGTTGGACCACCTTTTGGAGGTGATTTTTCAAGGGACAAAGAGTTTTATCATGTCAGGATTATGTTAAGTCCCCATCTTGATTTTAGATATCAGCCTATGGGCCAGTTTGAAGTGGGTTCCCTTCAGGGGTGGAGGGATGTGTGGAAGGGGGCATAAAATTTAAGGAACCCTAGTTTCCGATATTTACCAGGTTGTCCTTTTTGGAGGCCGGCAACGGAAAGCAATAAGTTCACTGGAGTGTCCAGCAGTGTCCAGTGACAGTCTCTTGTATCTTAGAGTTGGGTAGAAGTCTTCATGCCCATGTTGGCGCACGCTGGGTCAACGCCGAGGGTCATGGCCTCTCCCCCACGTAGCTTCAAGCAAAGTAGCAAACTATCCAGTCTTCCAGTGACCTGCCATGAAACTACTTTGGTCGGATGTCCCGCAGAACCATAATGAATGTGTTGGCGCTTTCGTTGGTGTGCAGGTGTGCCGGAGTGCCTTTCATAAGGTGCTCACGTTTGTCCACACTTTCAATTTCGCATGGGGCTTCTTCGCCTTTTCTTCACTTTGCGCATCTTTCATTCGAGTCTGAGCCTGGCCCCTACAGTCCCATGGGGACATGGGAAAGCGTAAGCGCTAAAATTCGGATGGGGCTCCTGCATCCGGTGCAGCGACACAATCCGGTCATTCACGTTGGCGAGCCGGCCAATGATGCTTGCTCTGAGATTTCTGCGGAGAGCAAATGTAGCATAGCAGTTGTCTCGCAAAGTCCCTCGCAAAGAAACGAGTCCTGCTTTTTCAACTCCCCACTTGTTGTTTGGGGTGAAATGGTAGGTCACACTTGCTGGTGCTCGGCAGGGAATGAGGCCACAAACAATCCCTTGTGGCTTCCTTCAAGGGGAGACCAAAGACTGGGTTCATTCGAATGGTCATTTCCAACCTATTGCACCAAGGAGATGGAGTTGTTGGGTTGAAAAATCCAAGGGTGCTCAAGCCAAAGCGCCAGAGGCAAGTACGACCCAGATGACCTGCTTGATCCAGATGAGGACGGAAGCAGCTCATGCACGGGTGCAAGCGGACCCCAAAGTCTTTTCTCAAAGGGCACGACCCACAAATCGTGGTCGGTCTTTCTTCTTGTTACTTGTTGAGCGCCATACTTCAAGCAGTTCCCCAAAATTACTCGCAATTCAACCAAGAAAGCTATGAAGCTTTGAGGGAGGAACACTTGCAACAGCCATTAAAATGATGAACATCAAGCAACAAATTTGAGGATGCTTTCTGTAGGGGCAGGGCTGGCTGTATCCCAAGCGAGTGCTTAGCAGTCTTGCGAGGGCAAGCGACCTGGCGACCTGCGACTCTTGTGCTGTGGCCCATCTCAGTGGCTTGCCGCGCTTTGCGGTCTCTGTGTCAACCAAGAGGTATATTCATAGATCAGATGTAGAGTTGATCAGGACTTTTCCATCGGTTCCCCGCTAAAACTGGTCAACCCCAAAGGGTTCTCTCTTCTTCTGGCAACTTGGAAAAGCTCAAGGCTGCTTCGCTGAAAGTTTGCTCGGATGGTAGTCCCCTGGTCCCTTCAAGCAAACTTGGGACGGCATGACCCGAGTACGCAGAAAGTATCGCCACCCACGGCAAAGCATCAGGTACAGACCAGCCAGTTGCATAGGGAGGGTGGGATAGGTGAGCAGGCATCATAGGAACAGGCAGGCAAGGTATAGATGGCAAGGTTGATGGGTAGGAGCCTTGTTTGTGATGCTGGGTTTCTTGTCATGCATTCTCTTCAAACGGGATCCGAACGGGAGGTGTGGCTGCCTTTATGAGGCCAAACCCCTTCTGTAGATAGTTCTTCATAATTTGCCACTCCACCAGACTCCCTGGACCTGACCATGCCCTTGACCTCGTGAGACATGCCTGGCTCACAGAGCAAGCACAGCACGTACATAATTCCGCCCACACCATTTGGAGAACGGCTCAGGCCAAGGCCGGGAGTCCAATTATCCGAACACGTACTGCCACGACCGACAGTGGCCACACGGCCGTTCTCCGATTCATGCTGAGTGTTTGTGATAGCTTGTGCCCTTTCGGAGATCATACTTGTCACCGTCTTTGTTAGCCATGCCCCCAAAACAAATCTTGGAGTCTGGCATTCACAGGCTGAAGTTAGCGAGGATTACCTCAAACGGCAAAAACGCGATATTCACAAGTTCTGAGTTCAATAGACTGCTTGGCTTGCTGTGCGCGAGGGGAATCCATGGAGGATTTTGGAATCGAAGGGGAAGCCAGCGTCGCGTTGGCCCAAAGCTTCGCTGGACTGCTTACAAATATCGGGATCGGTCGTGGGTCGCGGCATGGGCTGCAAACCGATGCGTGAATTGTTGATTCTGTCGGACTGACCTCGGTGAATTTGGTGGCACAGCTGGTTGCCAACAAAGCGCAGCTCTAGCGCTGCCTGAAGTGTGGCCCTTTTCGCCAGATTTGCAGTGGCCTTTAAGCCATGAATTTTCTGGCCTGCGGCCCTTGACAGCTGCACGACGCAGTCCGAGTGATTTCAGGAGTTGATTCTGAACTTTGACTAACGGTTGTGCAAAGGCGTTTTGATACTTGTCGAGTTTGCGTCACAGCTTCGAGGAATCCTTCGAAGATCACTTCTGAATCTGCGGAACCCTCCCAAGAACTCTTCTCTTCTTGACAAGGTCCGAGGTATAGCTGTCCAGGCAGCCCACCCCTCCCATTTCTGTCTCAATGAACGGGATCCGCTTTTAGTAGCCCTGCTGGAACCCGAAAGGGGCGCAGTGATCTTGACGCACCATTGGCGCCAGCCTTCACGGTCGCGTTGGTTGATGGCCCCTCTTGCATCTCTGTGTTGCTCGCAAGAGCTAAGCCTTTGGATGCTTTTGCCCATTGGCTCGGTCCAGCACCTGGTCCCATGCATGGCGATGCTGCACAAGGCGCTTGCCCGCGTCCGACCTGCTTTGCATCTTTGGGCCCCGTAGCGCGATGTAGCGCGCACCTGTCATAGCCTGTGCATACCCGGGCTTGGGCTCAGCCTGCGCTCCACGGGCTGCCTAGAACATGCATCTCGGAACCGAGGGCTTGAAGGGTCGGAGAAACATGTTCAAAGCTTTCGGTCATCCCGGCAATCCGGCACTTGCATCATTGAGGATGGGCAGTTGCTGCCGAGAGTGTGCATTTGGGCTTTAACAAGCGCATGCAGGCGTTGGTTTTGGACCTGACTGAGCACATGCGACCAGCTGTGCCTGTGACCCTGCCACCTTTGCCTGTCAACGAGCGCGGGCTCGCGAACCAACTGAGCTTACCTTCAGTCCCGGCCCGGCTGGGATCCAGTCGCCGTGCCTTCGGCTTTTGAGCTGAGCGTGACGTAGAAACACGGGCTACCTCAGCAATATGTTCAGTTGCGGCTTAAGGGCTTGAGATAGGAGGATGAGGCTTTGACAACGTGTTCAAGATGGGACTTCCATAGGCGACCAGCTTTGGAGAGTAGACATGTGGGCTTTTTCGCACGCTATGAAAGCGGTTTTGCCCCCCAGAGTCCCAGACAGTGCTTCACTGCGTGCCCTGCGTGCCCTGCGTGCCCTGTGTGCATCGAGTCCAACATGCGTGCTCAGATGTGCCGGGCCTCTCGCCTAGTGAGCACTGAGTCTTTCTCGAAAGCTTGTGATCCGGCTGCAGGCTCAACCCCAACTGCTGGCTGGCTTGGTCTCAAATATCTCAGAGGAATTGTTGAGTCGGAGCCTTGGGCTTAAGATAAGACTGTTAAGCCTTTGACGACATCAGCTTTAGTGCGTGGATGTACTTCGGCAGGCAGGCTACTGGGCACGCATGGCATGACTCACGAGTCAGCAGTGCCTGCTGATATGCCGATGCGCCCAGCCTTTGTCCCAAAGCAGTTGACTTTGGCATTGGTAAGCTCGTTGCCCCAGCTTTGGCTCAGCCTCAACCGTACCCCGCAGCAGTGCAGGAGTCGCATCCATGAAGGGTCAGAGAATAAGATTCTTACCTTTTTGCTAGCCATGCAGATAGGCACTTGCATCGTTGAGGATGGGCAGCTGCTGCAGAGAGTGCGCGCTGGATTTCTTTGTCATGTGTCACTGACCTTAGGCCCGGCTCAGAGGTCCGGCGTACCTCAGCACCCGCAGTATTTGAATAGTGCTTGCCATGCACATGGTCACACTTTTGCCCGGAATGTTCATTTAGCAACTGTACGGCTGTCTCGCTTCGAAGGTGTCAAAAGCCTGTGTCGAACCATGCCTCTAGTTTGCCTTTGCTCATCTTAACGGAGAACAGCTTAGCCTCGTAACCAACTGAGCATGTATTCAAGGCTTGCAGTGTTTGAGAGGCTTAGGCTGAGATAATAAGCTTCTGATGAACCACAAGGTTTGGCACTTCTATCGTGACGTGCGATGGCAATTTGACGATGTGTGTCCTGTCATGTTTACATCTTGCTTTCCGTCTCTAGGTCCAAAACCGATCATGTGAAGCGCACCTCTCGCGCATCGAGAGTGAGCAGATACGTGCCCAAACGTGCCCAGATGCACCGAGAGTGTTGCCTGGCACGTCAACTCCTGCCTCCTGCTAGGTTTAGCTCCGCTCAACTCAGCATACTTCACCGATGCGGGCGTCATTTGTTTCGAAGTTGCAGGGCTCGCAGGAACAGGAATAGTAGCGTTGATCAACTTCTTGGATCAGGCACTTGGTTCGTTCAGGATGGGCAATAGCTGCAAGTACAAGTCCGAGCCTGTGCAATTTGTGTGTGAAATTCTGTCTATCCAAGCACATGGCTTGAAGCGCACCTAGGTCTCGCCGCTAATGTGTGGTTTCGCACGGACAGGCCCACCCCTTTGCCTAGCGAGCACTGCATCTCGCTTTGGGCGCCGGCTTTGACTCGGCCTCAAGTCATGCTTTGTAGTGGCAGCTTCAGATCTGCCACACTTCTCGTTGAGCGCCAGCTGCACGATCAGACACTTGCATGGCGGAAGGCAAGCCCCACGTGCGAACCACGACTTTGAGTCCACATACTTGCATGATTCAACGCCCACTGTTCAGGACTTGTGCTTGCCTGGTGCGCCCAGCGCGTTTCTTCGTGAGCGCTGCCCCGTGTGTGAGCTTGCCTCAACTTCCGCTCAGAGGTCGGGAGCCTCATAAACATCCGAGGGCACTTTGAACGCGGCCTGAAAATGGACAGCGCCCTTTGAGTAGTTGGGTTATTCTGGGAGAAACACCCACCCAGCCTCAACTCCTGCCTCTTGCCAGCTTCAGCTCTTGATTGGCGCCAAGTGCGGCCGTGAGCGTGCGTTTAGGAGTGGGGTGCGAACTAGGCGTGATGCCTTGGCTTCATGCATCTGAAAGCGTTGATAGGCTTTCAAATAAGCATCAGCATCCCAATAGGCCACTGCCAGCTGATGTGCAACAGACAATTTGGGTACAAGTGGCTGGTCCTTCCAGCTCTCTATGTGTGGGTTATCTCTGGCATGTTAGGGCCCCGTCCCATGTCTGTCTCAACCATGTCACGGCACACGCGCCTGATGGATCCTTTTAGGGGGAGCCGTGCTAGTGTGAAGCCTGGGCCTATTCAGCGAATGCTGGTAGGCTGGATAGAGGTCATTGCCCTGCGGCCTCCCATTCATCTCGCCAACCTGTTGCCAACCCCACTGGTCGTCATGCCAGCAACTACCCTTACCCGGCCCAAGCAAAGCAGCGCCTTGTGAAAAGTTGGGGGGGGGGAGGTGATTAGGAAGGAGGCAAGCTTTCGAGCACTAACATTTCCTTTGATTAGGCGCCGGCATGCAGGCTGTGTTTCAGCTCCAGGTCCAATAGTGCAAAACAGCTCTTGCGCTCGTGGGCAGTGCTTCAGATGGCACTGCGGCAGCTTTGGCTTCCCTCCTTCTGCATGCCCTGAAGATGCTGCCTCGGCGGTTGGCGCTCGTGTAGCCACGCGTTGGTTGGAAGATGCGTTGACACTTATGTACTGCACCGTGATTGCATGCGAAAATGCACAAGCCGTGAACTGCTGAAGGTTTGCGCTAAGCATAGGCGAAACGTGCTCGTAGCTGGTAACCGGCTTGTGGCTCTTGCCGTGACAGCAGCGAGCTGCGGCTTTCACGCTGGAGGCGTGGATTCATGGTTAGTCGCTCCCCCTTGCCGCGGGCGCCGCGGGCCAAGGTGCCCATCAGGCCCTTGCACCGAGCTCGCAACTTGATGGCTGCGCATGCCCCCTTTGGCTCCTTGTGCATTCTACAGCGGTGACGCCGAAGCCGCACTCACACGTGAGCGCTGCGATCCCGCCGAGCTCGCGGCCAGCTGCGCCGCAATGGGCTGGAATGGTCTGAGACACTGCGCATCAGTCGCTTGCTGATGCCCAAGATCTTCTTGAGATGCAGGGCCAGCAAGCTGAGCGAGCAAATGTTGTGCGGGTTTAGATCCAAAAAGGGGCATCTCCTGAAGCGTGCAGCTGACATGTTTATTTGGTGCCTTGACTTTCTGTCCTGCTGTGAAGTTGCCAGGGGATGGCTGTCAATCCATCACATCAAAGGCCAAAAGAAGGCAGTCAAACTCCAACTCGGTGATGTGGGAACGTCTCCAAACCAGAAAGTCTTCCTTTGGTGAACTTGGAAAGGAAAGTGGCATAAAACCAATTTGGACCTAGAGTCCCTTGTTATTCCCCTGGAAAATGCGGCCATTTTGTTTGAACGTCGAGCTTTTAGAATCCACTTGAGTTGTTTCCCTGGAAGCTACCACCTGGGTGACTTTGGTAAACTCGTCTCGTGCCGTCCCTGTATCTAAGGTGTCCCTTCTCCAACTAAACTGTTGTGACCGGGCTGCTTAAAGGCAATCCTTAATCCTTACCTTGGGTTGCGAAAGGGGTCCTTTTTGTAAACATTGTACAAGGGATCAATTATGGAAGATCGGAGTGGCCAAGACTCCACTTTGAGCAGCCCAGTGTGACTTGTGACCAGAGGGCAGCACTCTTTCAAAACTTGCTGGTGCTCAGCAGGGCATGAGGGAAGGAACCTGGGGATTCCCTTAGAAGAAACCGCAGGTTATGCTTTACAGGGGCATTCCCTTTTCTGCTGAGCACCAGCAAGAAAAGGACATCAAGTTTGAGTTTGCGGAGTTGAGGGAAGTCCCCGCTGCTCTCAGCGCAGGATCAGCGGGTGCTGCAGCAGGCTCATTTCTGCGTGCAGGGACACCATGTGTGTGTGGGTGTTGCCTGAAATGGGTGTCGGTCAAAAATAGGGTTGCCACCCATGGAAACCATGACTAAAACCTGCGGTCCATATCCTGGTGGTTGATTTTTTTTGACCCATGCCCAAATTTGGAAGTCTCTACGATGTTAGGACAGTTCAAGGAAGCCAGACTTCACGAAGGGGGCCTTCGGGCATTTGGCTCTTGCATTCTCCAATTGGGGAAAGCGACAAGATCGCTTTTGTTTGCAGCCAATCCTCTTGTTCCAACCAGTTGTCACCGACAATTTCGTAGCTTGAATATTGCTCTTCCTTTTGGCCATGCAGTCATCTTTTGAGCCGAACCCACGTGAAGGACCTTGGCAATTTCCCTGCTGCTTGTTTCCCCCTATCAAAAAATACAGAGTGCCCTCCATATTCTGTTGCCTGAGGAAGCTTATTGATTGGACCCAGGCGTTTCTCGTGCTCAAGTTCCACTTTGCCCTTTGCTCTGAAAATCGCATGGGCTCCGCTGTCAAGCTCGACATGTCCGACATGTTTTCGAAGCGTATTTAACATAAAGGTACCCGTTGGAGTTTGCGGTTCCAACAAAACAGACTCATCAAAATAGATATGCACGTGACATGGACAGCGGGTTTGCAATCTCTAGTTTTGTTGGACAAGTACCAAGGAACTTGCTGGTGCTCAGCAGGGAATGAGGGAATGACCCTTACACTTGTGATGTTGCTACTGGGCACCAGCAAGGATAATGTCTACGTAGAGAGCTGAGGCAAATTAGCTTCTGTTGATTGATTTTATTTGATCTTTGCGTCCGCAGGTGCGTCGAACCATCATCGAGGCCTTCGGTGTGCAGCTTAGTTCTGCCACCCCACTACTCCACTCGCGGGTGGCCGACCACGTGGAGTTTTTTCGAATTTTTGTCGTCGGCGATGGCAAGTTTGTGGCCATTGGAATCGCTTTTGACAGAACAGTGGTCACATTGCCAGCTTGGCGTTTGCTGCTCCAATTTGCATGCAGGCTGCTGATTTGGAGAGCTCGGTCCGGGCTACTGATTTTGGGGCACACATGCTCCATCTTTAGTTCGCAGGTCATGCATGGAACACGGGCTATGCCAACTGAAGGGGGGCCATTCCAGAACAAAAAATAGGTTCCCTTGAGATTTTGCGGATATAACGGAAGTAATTATGGTGTATCTGGAGGGAGTGGGGTGGCCGAAATATTTGGACCACTTTCTGAAAGGGATTTGACTTGGCTTTGAGCCAGAGTTTTAGAAGAACATCCCCACTCCCTCAGGGTTCGAAAATAGGGGGATAGAACAACCTCCCACCATCTCCCCCCTGAAAGGGGTGGGGATAGAAGAACCTATTCAGTGCCCATGGCAGCTTCGGAGCCACACCGTATGGTTTAGCCTGCAGGATTTCCGAACCTCTCCTCACTTTCACCATGGCACCTGGCAGAGGGCCCATACAAGAACATGATCTTCCAGGTGCCCTCCCACCAGTGCCTTCTGTCAACGTGGGAGGGAGGGTAAGCTCGCGTGGCTTGGGGGAAATAATTGGGTCCAAGTCAGCGAGCGGGACCCCAGGCGGCAGCGCGGCAACTGCCTCAGCGGACATCATCGACCGCAGCCGCCGGGGCCTCAGAACTGTGCGACGTGCGGACGGGCAACGGCTAAAAGGCCCCAAGAGATGTGGATGTCACATATTTGTTTCTTCAACGGTCGCTTCAAGTAGAGTTGGTCCAGTTGGTCTCTGAAATATTGCTAGTTTGTTCCTCTTGTTTTTTGTTTTTTTGCTGGGGTAACCTCTCTCTCACACTCTCTGCAATCAGCTTCCCTCTTGGTAGTTTGGATTGGTGATTCGGTGGTTGCGGGTGGTTTGGCGAACCAATGCGAAGCAACGAGCTAAGTGACCAAGGCTTCAAATTCAATTCCAAACCAATCCAGCAATTCGGGGTTTGATCCAAGCCCATGGCTTCTAAACCGGCTGGCACTCCAGCCACTTGGCCCATCCCACTCGGCCCCGCACCCCACCCGGGGCCTGCGCATCCCCCCCGCGACTCCTGCGTAAGTGAGGCGACGAGGAGCTCTTCAACGCGGAGAGGGCCAAGGGCATGAGCTCCGGGGAGGCCACTGGACGTTCCTTCTGGCTTTGGCTCGCTAAAAGCGGATTCAAAAAAATGGAAGCAACCGGTTTTATATGAGGGACAAAGGGTGAAGTAAGTTTTGGTCTTCTAAGTTCGTGAAATTCCTGAACTTTACACTTTGGGAAAGACCCGTTTTGATGTGGTTTATCGTTTTGTAGCAGAGTTGGAATGCCTGTTTCCCCCCCTCCTTCCCCCCGCAGGGTGGGCACGTTCCCATGCAAGTGTGCGGAGGTTTTCTGGTTCCATGTTTCTCCCGGAGAAGGGGGCGCTGCTTGAAGGGGCAACCACGCGTTTTGGGGCCCCAGGCTTTGACTTTTTGGGAAATAAAGGGTTTGCCATTGAAACAAATATATAATTTTCTTGCAGAGGGGTCACCAGCAACCAAGTAAACCTTTCGGGGCTGGTGCAAGGAAGGCCCTTAGGATTGGCTTGGCCAGGGCGGCGAGGGCGGCTGCGTTTGGTGCTTCCAACATCTGATGCTTTTTAGATTGCAAGATCACGTGTGCTCTGCACGTGTATCAAAATTCGATGCTGGCCCTGTTGTGTGCAACTTGTTTGCCTAGCTTGGCGTATCCAATGCTGCGGGCTCCGTTTGATAAGTGTTGCGTTGTGTTTGTTGCTTGTCTTTTTTTGGGGAGGAGCCGAGGTGGCCTGTCCGCCCTCAAGAGAGAACGTCGAGCATTTGTTGGTTGTTATGCACAGGTGGTTCATCACTTCCAGGGGTCTTGCTCATAAGCACCAAGGAAACCAAAGCAAAACCATGCTAAACCTGGATACAGCTCGAGTCTACCATGTTTAGCCGGCTTTCTCTGCATGAGCCACAGTCAAAAGCCGGTAAGATTATCGTTAGAAAGGGATAGTCCCAACCATAAATGGGTGCCGTCGCCGCCTTGTGAATTCTATTCTAAGACTCAATTTTGATTATGACTCACATGGTCTTTGCTCAATATGAGAGGCTGAAAGGCGAGGTTTGTGCAGTCGAGCGCCCAGGTCGCCTTTAATGCTGCTGGCAAGGGTGCGGAGAACGAGTTCCATGGGGAGGCAGATCCACTGCCCCCTTTCAACGGCTAGGTGGCACGATGCGAGTCTGAGAAACCAGTAAAAGCAGATGTCTCGTTGCTCCTAGGATTATTCTGTAGGTCTTGGTGGCAAGACCGGCCTCAACGTTGTATGCGTGCCTCCGAATAGTTCTAAGTGCATGCAGCCATTCGGAGGCTGGCGCGAGAAAACACTGAGTTTGATGGGTGGAGGTGATGCTGGACAAGAAGCGCTATGAGTGGGAGGACAAGTACAAGCCCAGAAAGCCCCGCTTCTTCAACAGAGTCAAGACTGGCTTCGAGTGGACCAAGTACAACCAGACCCACTACGACCACGACAACCCACCTCCCAAGATTGTGCAAGGCTGGGCCTGCGTTCCTTTTGTACAGGTGTGCATCGGTGTGATCCGCAACGGATACGGCAGGCTACAAGTTCAACATCTTCTACCCTGACTTGATCGACAAAACCAAAACGCCAACATATCACGTGGAGAAGTCAGACACCGCTGACACTGTGCGCAACTCAGGCGATCTGAGTTTGTTGACTGCGGCATTTGTGAAGCAATCCACGGGCCTTGTGGCCAAAGCATATGAGAATGGCGAACCAAACGCATGCCCAATATACCGATCGGGCCCGCAGCTCAGAATTCCTACAAGGCGAGGCCCTGATAGACAAAATATCCATCAGCCCTTGCAAGTTGCGACTGAGTCGTCTTTGGCTGAGGTCATGATTCGATTTAGTGCTGGCCCTCCCTACGAAGACGTCGCCTTCAAGATTGTCAATCGAGAGTGGAATATCTCCCACAAGCTCACCAGCTGCAACAGTTGCAACGTTCGCCAGGTCCTGATATTTTGATATTTTATCTTGTCTGTCGCTTCATAGCGGTGTGGTATCGGGTTGCTTTGTGTGCAAGATGGGGCATTGTATGGCTTTGGTTGTGCTTTATGCGCTCGACCCCTGTGGTTTCAACTTGCCTTTTTCAACGCGGGGGTTTGTTCCTTTCCGCCAAGGAGTTTCTGCATTTTGTATGAAGGGGGGCTGCCCCTTCGCTTGCTAGCAAGTTCCGTATTCAATTTGATGGGTGGGTCAGGCTTTAGGCGGCCGGCCAGCTCTTGCCGAGGTTTGGCTTCCGAGTCGTCTTCGACCGGGGAGTCCTGCAGCTGTACTTCAACGTCAAGCGCTGGCGGTACAGGCGCTGAGGTGAGTGCGGATGCGTGCGTGCAGCAGCCCGGCTGCCGGTTGGTGGGGTGGATATCCTCAAGGGAGAACAACTTTTGGGGTTCATGTTGGCTGGGCGAACACTGAAGGCGCAGCTTAGTGCCAGAAGCTGTCCCACCCTGCCGTGAACATAGCCTGCCTGGGGAGGACCTCAAAGGAGGTTTCGGATGGAAGAAACCAAGTCCAGAGAAAGTGCAGATGTGCGTGACGGATATTCCAGAACGACAACAAGGCGGACAAGCATGAAGCTCCAGAAGCGAACGCCTCACAGACAGGATCTGAGTCTCTGTCGCTCCGAAGCCCTCGGAACGGAGATTTGCGGATCCGCTCCCTGTCCAATCGAATGCGCAAACAGATATGGCCGTGGGTCAAAACCCAGTACCCCTGGTGAACATCAAAATAGGCGGTACATAGGTGTTCATCCGCCCCAAAATGGAGCCATAGGTTATGATCCATGGCCATTGCAAGTTTGTTCACGGCAACTTGTTTTTGTGCGCTGTGCTGCCACTTCCGAGAACGACATGGTGTCACTCCCCATGGTTTCAACCGCTTTCGAACCTGAACAATGTGTCACATCCTACACCCCAAACATGAACGATGTCCGCCACGCATTTTTGGAGGGTCTACAGAACCTCCACCAAAACTTGAGGGTGTGCATAGCTCTGCATACCGGACCGACCGACCAACCAACCGACCGACCAACCAACCAACCGACCCACCGACCAACCAACCGACCCACCGACCCACCAACCAACCAACCAACCAACCAACCAACCAACCAACCAACCAACCAACCAACCATGTTCGTATTGGCCTGCCCCCATGTGATTTTTCGGAGACAGCACCCCAGCTTCAGCGAATCTCGAGGCCATGAACTTCTGCCAAAGGAGGTCGCCCAAGCCTCAACGAGCCGGAGGAATCTGTCTTTTTTTCGGCGGGCACGGGTCCCGATTCAGTTCAATAATGCTGACCCCATACTGTGGATTGAAGTCCGGCACCAAGACACCATGGCCAACCATGGTTTTTGTTGGTATTTACAGGGGATCATATCATTCTAGGGTTTCTTAGGTGGTGCAGGAAGTGTGCAGGATTTCGTCCATCCACAGTATTAATCAACCCCAGTTTGTCAATAGGGGGTGCCCCCTCCAAAAGTGGTCTGATTCCCCATTACACCCAGCAACACCCCCCTAGTAAGAAGCTGGGGTTGATTGATATGGGGTCAACAATGAGGGAAACTCCCAGCAGCCTTGTGAATTCTTTACATGGTTCTGGGTACACCATTTTACTACCAGATTTTGATCATGACTCACCTGGTCAAGAGTTATGTGGGTCAACCAGAGCATATGTTGCTTTGCGCAGGTTTAGAGGATGCCCGTGTAAAGCGATGGGTTTTAGATGAAAACCCTTAAGGAGCCCTATTCTCAGGGTGGGGATTCTTGGAATGAAGAAAGGGATGGTGAAGCTCGGAGTGAGTCCAAGTGCCCGGAGAGGAAGCTAACCCGCCGCCAACTTTGGGGGGAAAGCACATGGAGGACTCTCCTGACGCTGGGAGTCGCTTGACACCGGGACCTGGGGCATTGTCGCTTGACCCCCAGACCTGGGGCAAGATGAAGCCCCCATTACAACCCTGACCCCAACTCCGCACTGAGTCCAAGCACACAAATTCCCTGACCAGCTGCCTGACCCGCAAGCAAGCTAAGCCCAAACACCAATCAAGCCCCAACAGACCCGGAATCCACCATAACCCCGATGATAATTCACTTCCGCCCAAAGTCAGGCTGCGCTATGCTGAGGATAGGGCTATTGCCATCGACTTGGGCGACATCCTGGTCTTTGAGGACATGTGTCTTGCCAGATCTGACTTGCTTGCCTCGGGTTGGTTGGTTTGCGCTGGGTGCTGGGACCCTAGTGAGCGACTCCCCCCCTTCAACCTTAGCGGCGTTGATTTGTGGGCCCGGAAAGCACCGGCATCAGGGGGCTTGTAGGCCAGACGGGCCTACGCTGGCCGAAAAGCAGCTGGGTTCAAACACTGGAATTCGCATGGCTGTGGCACATGTGCTGTGTGTACAATGTGAGCAGGGCTTGCTGCGGCTTGGGGGGAGCGGGGGTAATTCACACTAGATGGCTGGTTGAAGGCTGCATGATGATGCCTCCGCACGCTTTTTTTTGGGTAGCTTTCAAACAGGAAGAACTGGTCACAGGGCAAGGGCAAAGTTGTGCTCAGAGGATGGGTCTCTAAAGGCATGGAAGCATTGAAAGATATTGAACGAATTGATCATTGTCCATATTGTCTCTGGGTCAGCCTCCTGCATGCCTCACTTCCATTGCTTCCGCCTTGCCTGGCGGCACGGGCGGGGGTCGATGGTTGTTGCGATGGCGTTTTTGTTGGGTCACCCCCGGGCCGCGGCCGTGAAGCATCTCGGCCAGGACATCCTGGGCCTTTGGCAGGAAGGTGACAAGCCAGGAGCCCAATGTGATTGGCGTGCTTGACAGATGCAGTGGCTGGTTTACATGGGATAACATGTTCAGCCCATGCTGGAGGTCTTCTCACACACAGACTGGAGTGTGGCTGTGAGCCCATTCTGGAGCACGTTTTGACCATCTGGACCAACTCCAAGGACACCGAACCAGCCCAGGCTTTTGCCGGAGGAAGTGTTGGCTGCGGCATCTCACCGTTCGGCTTGGGCGCCCCAGCAGGGATCGACGGCTTTCGCAACAGCTGGTTCTCGAGTCGATTCCTCGCGAAGGGTCAATGAGTGAGCTGCCTGGCCCCCGCCAAGCCCCACAACCCACCATGAGGCAATCGCTGTCTCTTTTGCTTTTGACCTGCTTTTGCACTTCAAGCTTCGGATCATCCTGAGTGGCAACAGTAATGGCGTGAACACATCACTGTCAAATGTTTTGGATGCCTGTGTGTTTGTTGGGGCAAAGTCTTGAGTCTGGGGCAGCTTTGGCTGACCTAACCAGGTTTGTCTCTCATCGGCCGAAGCGCTCAGGTTGAGGAGACCCTGCGCCACACGAAGCCCACGAACTTAAATGGCGGCAAGAGCTCTCAGTGGGGACCCGGTGGACTGAAGGGAGGATCTACTTGGCGCTGTGCGTGTGGATTCGCCATTTTTGGGGCCCTCACCCCCCCACATGGGTATGAGTCAAACTTACCGCAGGTTTTAGCCTTTGTTGCCATTTACCAGGGCAACCCATTTTGGGGTTACCCTATTTTTGACCCACCCCCCATATTAATACACGGGGGTGTAAGAAAATTTGTGGGGTCGACTCTGCCCTGAGGTGTTGTGCTGCCGGGCTCCCAGGGTTTTGCCAAGGATCTCGCTGGGCTCTCTGGGCGTTTTCTGGGGGAAGACGTGTGTCGTAGCTCAAGCCGTGTTTCGGATGGGTTTCTTCGAAGCTCCTTACTCTCCAATGTCTTTGGCAGCTTGAAAACCCTTCGAACCTTCACCGTTCTTGGCAAGGTTTTTGATTTGTTTCCTTTTTTTGCTTGTGTTGGGTTGTGTTCATGTTTAATAGGGGGTTGCAGAAAACTATTCTTTTTGCTACCATACCAAGAACAAGGGTTGCGAAGGAATTGAAACGGCGAACCGCATTGTGTGTGTGTGCGTGTGTTGTGTTGTGTTGTGTTGTGTTGTGTTGTGGTGTGGTGTGGTGTGGTGTGGTGTGGGTTGGGTGTGTGAATGTGTGTGTGTGTGTGTCTGTGCGTGTGTGCGTGTGTGCGTGTGTGTGCGTGTGTGTGCGTGTGTGCGTGTGTGCGTGTGTGCGTGCGTGCGTGCGTGCGTGCGTGCGTGCGTGCGTGCGTGCGGGCGGGCGGGCGTGCGGGCGTGCGGGCGTGCGGGCGTGCGGGCGTGCGTGCGTGCGCGCGCGGGCGTGTGTGCGTGCTAGCGCGCGTGGGCGTGCGCGTGGGTGCGTGCGTGCGTGCGCCGTTTGCTCTGCCAGCGTGCGTCGCATTAATGCGTGTGCGTGCGTATGCGTGCGTGTATTAATGCGTATGCGTGCGCATTAATGCGTATGCGTGCGTGCGTATGCGGTATGCGTGTTGTGCCGTGCGTGGCGAGTGCGCGTGTGTGGCCTGTGTGCTTGTGCTGCGTTGCGCTGTATGGCGTCTGCAGCATCTGCGCGTCTGCGATCTGTGTGCGTCTGCTTATCTGCTGTCTGCTGATCTGCTGCATCTGCATCTGCATCTGCGCTCTGCGTTGCGTCTGCGCCGCGTCAGCAGCAGCGTCGCATAAAGATCGCGTGCGTGCGTGCGTGCGCGCGCGCGTGCGTGCGTGCGTGCGTGCGTGCGTGCGTGCGTGCGTGCGTGCGTGCGTGCGTGCGTGCGTGCGTGCGTGCGTGCGTGCGTGCGTGCGTGCGTGCGTGCGTGCGTGCGTGCGTGCGTGCGTGCGTGCGTGCGTGCGTGCGTGCGTGCGTGCGTGCGTGCGTGCGTGCGTGCGTGCGTGCGTGCGTGCGTGCGTGCGTGCGTGCGTGCGTGTGTGCGTGTGTGCGTGTGTGCGTGTGTGCGTGTGTGCGTGTGTGCGTGTGTGTGTGTGTGTGTGTGTGACTGTGTGACTGTGTGTGACTGTGTGTGACTGTGTGTGACTGTGTGTTCCTGGTGGGTGCGCGGCTTCGGACAAATGGGCTAAGACCATGTCCCTTGGGCGAGGTACGAGGTCAGCAGAATGCGGAGCTCAGGATACACCGAGGAGATTGGGGTGCTGGGAGCACTGTTGTGGGCCTTTTTGGGGGTCTCAAAGGTGCAGAATGCCAACCTTGAGCGGCAAGGGAGCTTGAGTTTCGGGTGCTCCTTGAGAATTGGTGAAGTGCTGCATTCAATTGTTTTTTCACAAATGCCTAAAAAGACCCTCGCAGGACACACTCAGAGCAGCGCAGATAGGCCAGAGCCATGTCCGGGCATGTTTTCTCAAAGGAGCGCCGGTGGGGAGAATGGTACGAATCAATCGAACCGCCCCAAGCACAATTTAGTCAGTATGTG